GGCTTTCACCTTCGGAAGGTGACCTTCCTACCTTTGTTCTAATCTATGAGAAGCTCTCTAGTCCTGTAGTTTATTAAAAAAAAAAATTGACTAGATTTTTTAATTCTTATCTTAATCAACTTTTTTCCTAGTTTAATTGAAAATACTTTTAGCACTTCAAATTCCTCTGCATACGTGACAGCTTACAATTTAAATTTAAGTAAATAGAATCAAAATAGACACAATGTTTTCAGTCAGTTGTTTATGGCTTTGGTTTCTATTACAAAAAGATTTTATAGTGTATATCATTGTGAAATTAGAAAAAAACACCTCGACATTTCCAGCCCAAGTTTAAATCATGCTCACAATGAAAATTCCAGTCAAAATCTTAAACAGAAACTAACAAATAAAAAAAAAAATCAGCGGGGCGGGGCGGGTTGAAACAGGACCCGCCCGCACCATTGCCATCCCTAGACATTATATAGTTTTCTTATACCATTAGGTTAAATTGACCTATAATAATAAGTAATTTTTTTTCTATAATCAGGGAGATTACACGATAGTGTAAAAAGATATTCACCGTAAATATATATAAGTTAAATCCAAGAATTGTTAGATATGTGTTTTAATGATAGATAATAACTTAATTTTAATTGCTGGAAAACCAATCCCAAAGAAGGATATCACGAGAGTTGGAAAGATTCTAGCAGAAGACCTGAAAGCAAGAATCAAGGAGTCAAACGTGTGAGTCAAGATCCAAAGGCAAGATTCAAGGAGTAAAATTGCTGTGACCGCGAGCTTTATAGAAAACTGATACTTGATTCAACTATTTACCTAAGGTATCAATCAATCAGTATAGAAGATCAAACAATCAATATAGAAGATCAATCATTCTCCATAAAAGATTTGCAGAAAATATTTTATCATGCATAACAGAGAATATTCATCTCAATGGTTTGCAAGGAAAAGGAAATCAAGGAAGCAACAAAAAGAAAGTCCATTCTATTCTTGGAAGAAATTCATCTTGATTGATTCCCCTTGGGTTGCCTTTCAACCATTACACTATCACGCCGTGAAGAATGGAGGCCAAGTCTTTATATATTCTAGAGAAGATGCAAATGAAGAATATACTTTGATCGAACCAATATCAATCTCTTTGTTCTACTTCAAACAAGCATTCTAGTCTGCTATAGATTTATTGTGTAACTAAGAAGAGCAGAAAGAGAAAAGATTACCGGTGAGGCATTGTATCAAGCATAGAGATAAGAACAATGTGACAAAGCTGTTGGTATATAACAACATCAACCCGTCTGTACTAAGCCACTTCATACTTGAAAGAGGACACCCTTGCAACCCAAGGGGACTGGACGTATGATTCATTCTGAATCCAAACCAGTATAAAAATATTCTATGTCATTTACTTTCTGCAGTTTATTATCCCGCATTCAATTTTTAAAAACCCAATAACACAAGTTAGTCGACTACCTCGAAAAATAAAAGAACAATTACAATTCACCCCTCTTGCACTTTCCGGAATGACGTGCTGAAGAAAGTCACATAGCCTTAATGTGCTCGTACACGCAAAGATACAAAAAATTGTTTACGAACTTTTCCTATATAAGAAGACGATCAAAACCTTTTCAAACAAATAATAGTACAAAGGGAAGATCACCTAATTAGGTAAACAATTGTCAAGGAGATAGATATAAACCATATTCTTTATTGAGGTTTAGTTATGAAATATAGCCTTCCTCAGTGTTGCTAACCATTCATTTGGGAGTAGTAATTAGTTTAATAGTTGGCCAACAAAACTACCTATCTTTTCTTGTTCTTTTGTGCTGAAACTTGCGTATATAACCCCCAAAGCTCTGTTCTTGCTCTGCACTCAAACCTGACAAAAACAAAAACAAAAAAACATAACCAAATTTCTTTTTCTTTTGCTCTTTTCTGAAAATCTGTTTTACCCCCAAAAACAAAAATGGCATCCAAAATCAATGTGATGGCTCTAGTTATTACTCTTGTGGCCTTTTTTGGGACTGGAGCTTTAGCTCAATCAAGTTGCATGACTACACTTGTAAGCTTGTCCCCATGTTTGAATTATGTTAGTGGAAATTCATCAACACCATCTTCATCTTGCTGCACAGCACTATCTAGTGTTGTCCAGTCCAATCCTCAATGCCTTTGTGTTTTGGTTAATGGTGGTGGTTCTAATCTTGGCATTGCCATTAATCAAACTCTTGCTCTTGCATTACCTAGTGCCTGTAATTTACAAACTCCTCCAGCGAGCCGGTGCAATGGTAAGATAAAATTCATTCTTCGAGCATTTACTATTAGGTCACATAAAAGATATTTACAACTAACTGTTTATAATAAGTGAAATTAATAACCTGAAAAATAAGGCAGTTAACCTTATATAGGTTAAAATACACTGATATTGTAGTAAACTCTTGAATAATTATTAAAAATAATGATCTAACTTATTGTTATGTGCTTACATTAAGCAGCTGCAAATGGACCAACTGCTTCAGCTGCAGTACCAGCAAGTTCTCCAGCAGGTTCCACTACCCCATCTGATTCCTCAAATGAACTTCCAACAACTCCATCAGGATCAGGTTCCAGTGTTCCAACAGGTAAATCCGAAGAATTTAACTGATATACACTTACAATAGCAACATATTTATACACTATATCAACGTATTTTAACATGTTATTGTTTGTTGCATTAGTGACATGATTTTCCAAGTTACTAGTCCCACTATACTGATATCGGTGTATATTAGTTGAACTCAAATAAGAATGCTTTCATTGATGTAGGTGCTACAGGTTCTAAAACAGTTCCTTCAACACCTGGATCGTCATCAGCAGAAAACAACTCAAAAATTTCTCTTAGTTTAGTTGGATTCCTACTCTTTGTTGCATCATTTGCTTTCACTTCCAGGGGATTCTGAGTTTTTGGAGCGTCATCAGAGCTTGAGAAAAAAGTTATTTAGATGTCAATGTTGTATTAATAGAACAGTACTACTGTTATTCTTTTGGCTTCTCTGTTTTTAGTAGGAGTATCACATTGGTTGTAATTTAGCTTTTTATTGTTGCTTATTTGATTAATTAATATATTCAGGAGGGCTCTTTGTTCTGTCACTTGTTTTAAGTTAATAATTATTTTTCCATCACATAAACAGATATTTATTCATTTCCCTTCATTTATCTTAGCTTCATAATTCAATCAATATTGGAAGAACATCACCTTTCAAGATTTTCATACATAATCATCCAAAGGATTAACAGGTCATTAATGGTGGGACAGCAATGTATAACTTGCGAATGAACAAATTAGATAAATACAAAAATCTAGATCAGGGTTTGATCGATAGTGTAAAAAATCATTTATACCGTCAGTATAGAGGGTAATTAGGTCATCCAAAATTTTGGAGTAGCTACGGGAGAAATATGTGTGGTAATCAGACGATATCCAGCAAAAGTCAGCTATATGTCTATATATATCTGTTTCATTTTTTTTATACTTTTACAATGATAAGTCAACGTAGCTATACCTATAAAGTTTGAACACTGCATTAAACTTTCTTTTCATTTCCTTTTTTTTCAAATCAAGCTTCGCAACTCTGTTGAAGGGAAGCGGTAAAATTGTTTAAGTATGACCTATAGGTCACAGATTCAAGTCATGTAAACAGCAATTAATGTTTGCATTAGGGTAGACTGTCTACATCACACCTCTAATGGTGCAACCCTTCCCCAGACCCTACGTGAATACGGGCTGTTTTGGGCACCGATATGCCCTTTTTTACCTTCCGAACTCTATTGTCTTAAACCAGTTTATATATGGACTATGGTGGACCACCTTACTTAGGATATTCTTAATTCATGCTTCCAATATTTGAGTTCGACATCATGATACTACTTTCTTGATTATGTTTTTCTTTTTTTTGTCCTGAAGATTCTATTACCATATTGTCCATGTTCTGTTTTGATTCTACACTTACTTTTGAAGAAGCAGTAGCTCCATCTTCTGGTTTACCGTCTGTAATTAATTTCCTAAAATTCCATAGGGTAAAATGAAGGTACAAGTCATAGCCTGATGAAATACAACATATTCTTCAACCTTTTTTCCATTGTGAGGGAATAATAACCAAATTAATCGAGGTCTAAAAACCGCTTTCTGTTTTGAATTATGAACACGAAGTGTGAAAATTGACCTTTGACTCTCCATCCAAATGTGGCCGGTACACATGTGAATATTGGTTCTCCAATCACCGGCCATGACCGCCGACCTATCCAGTTTGACTAAGTTCTTAAGTATAGACGGAGTCAGAATTTAAAGTTTATTGATTTTGAACTTGACACTAGTGTTTAACTCGTTTAATAATTGGATTCGTACGTAAATATTTATACATTTAATAAATTTTGCAATACAAACATAAAGTCTAATCAAAAGTTATCGGTTCTTAAAACACTAACTGCGCATATGACATTTAGTATTTAAAAATGTAGGCACCTTTCTGTCCACATGCTTAAGGAGTTTAACCTGTGCATCCTGAGAATGGAAAAGTGTTTTACATTATTAAATTATGTAAAAATAACTAAACAATTGTTCATAATTAGTAAGTAAGATAATTGTTTTAATTATTAAATTAATAACATGCTACAATAAATTAAAATTCATTAACAATCTAGAAGCTAAGTACTTCACATGATATATTTAAGTTAAAAACATATTTAAGTTGCATGATACACGAGTACTATCTTTGCTTAAATAAGCAGCAAAGATAACCTTTTCTACTCCTTGTATGCTAAGAAAGAGAGATGAAGCAAACCAAAATTTGGCAGCTGGAAGCTATAGAGTGGAAGTACTTGTCTTTTCACAAAAATATAGACCAAACCAGAAAACCAACACCTATAATATATACTGTACCGCTGTCATTTAATAAAAGTCGAATGTAGAAAGAAAATTAATAAATGCATACTCACGGATTCGTTATAAAGTAGGAAAAAAGTTGGTCACCCACATAACAAATCTGTCTTTAATTTATTACACCATCTTTCCCCCTTATAAATATCTTTCTCCTCCTATTCACTCTACTACTCAATATTAGTAACTCCTAATCAGCAGCTAAAACTAAGATTTTGAGAAGAATTTCCAAGATCAAATATTCAAGAAAATGAAGATGTTAGCTAGTGCAAGTTCAATTTTTGTAGCTATTGTCCTTCTTTCATTACATGTTAGTGCTCAGTCGGATTGCCAACAAGTGATCGTTGGTTTAGCCCCGTGTCTGCAATACATTCAAGGAAATGCGACAACCCCATCATCAGGATGTTGCACTCAACTTGCTACTATAGTGAAAAATCAGCCACAATGCTTATGTCAAGTTGTTAATGGTGGTGGTTCAAATTTAGGAATTAATGTTAATCAAACACAGACTATGGCTCTTCCCAAAGCTTGTAATGTCCAAACACCCTCTATTAGCCTTTGCAAAGGTATGTTATGTTTATCAATAATATTCTGCTTTCTTTTTCTCTTTTCTTTTCACTTTTTCACTTTTGTTCAAACTTGATGTATATTTTGTATAATGACATTTTCTAGATAAATATTTTTTTTAAAGAAGTCATTTTTTAAGAAATACATTTCCAATCAAAAGTGAAGAATGACTTCCCTTGGACGAAATTTGTTTTCCTTACAACAATATTAAGTTGTAACTTTATATTAATTATTACTTGTTTTATTTAGAGATTATTATTAATATTTAATGCTTAAATTTTTATCAGATTTAATATTATTATTATTATTCATTTTCTACTGGATATTTTTTGTCCAAAAAATATCACTTTTCAAAAAAATATATTTCATGGAAAATGACTTCTGATATGTTAAACACACTCGAGTGAAGATTTTCAAGTTTATAACAAGTTTTAATTTGTCTTATATTATCAATATAAACATTTCAGGTACTACTCCTTCAGGTTCACCGGGGTCTCCATCCACTCCTTCAGGTACGGATAATACGAGCAAAACTTCTTTTTCTAGTAATATATACGAACAAAACTCATCTTTGTCTAAACCATACTTAGCCCACCTTATTACACCGCGTGGCTTCAAGTAGTTCCCCTACTAGTAACACGCGTATCAAACCCACCTTATCTCACTGCATGTGTATCAACCCTTTGGATGTTATTTTTTCTTCCTATTAACAAAATTAATCTTGTATACTTTTGGCAGGTGGATCGAAGGGTGAGCCAAGTGGAAATTCATCAGGAAACTCAGTCAAGATGCCATACTCTCTCTTATTTACCCTTGTAGCTATCGCGTTTTTCGCCACAGTCTTCACCACCATCTGAGCTCCACTTTTGCGTATTTTTTGCAATGTGGTTGAAGTAGTGTGGAGTTGGCACAGTTTGGTTACGCATTTTAAATTTTTTGTTTACTTTGTTAGTGACTTAGTGTGATTGATATACACTTTTGTAATACACTACGCTTAAGGCTAAGGCAGAGGATTTTATGTACTTAGCTAAATTTTGAGCTGTATTGAGAGTTGATCAAGATTGATTTGTTTCTATCCGTACTAGATAAATCTATTCTTTTTATGAGCTACTTCCCTACTTCTAGTGTATATTCTATTATGCCTTCAATCGTAACGAGTAATATGAATATGAATTTTCAGATAATTGAGTTGTCAATATCACTCTGCCTTATCGCAGTGGGGCGTTGTACCTAATCAAAGGTGGAGAATGCAGCTAGATCTAGTTTGAACCGGTTTTTTATTTATTTTGTCCTCTAATGAATCTCCCTTTCTTTTTCCTCCGCTTTGACATAGACATCTGGAGAATAATCAGTCCACATAAATTTCTCAACTAAGAGCATCATATTTTGCAACTGAATACAAGAAGTTATGAGAAGAGAAGGGGTTTTTTTAACTATGAAGCTCTATCCACCAATATTTCCCAATTAATTGGAAATTAACTGCTGCTGAAGAGTTATAAATCATTATTTTATTTTTCGATTATCAAAAATAACAGTAACCCTTCTTACAATGTTCCCAAATAATGATTCATGTGCAATAAGATACAGGAGCCATATCCACTAACATTAGGAATAAGAATAGTATATCCTGTAGCATAAAAGGGATATAAATAGGAAGGACCTATGTGCTTCCTTATGGTTTCTAGGCAAATTCCAAAACCAATTTTCCCTGCCCTAAAGCATTTTCTTTTTAGGCCATAGAAGACGACCTTACCCTAATGTATAAATGTTACTATTTCTTTATTACACGTCCTGAAGATAGGCAAAGTATGTCAGCTGGGCGCTAAGTTGACCAAACTGATGCTATAATACTCCACCCAAATTCAACCTACTTCATCCTTAAACATTCACATGTCTAGAATTAAGCTCCTGGCCCTAGTGAGCCACGATAGCAGGCAAAGCATTCCTTTAAAATTCATCATACTCAGGCTGGAAAAATCCTTAAAAGATGATGGGAATTCCTCGGTTGAATTAAGAATCCAAACCCAACATTTGTATGTACATTTAAAACAGTAGGTGAACATTTCCGCAGTTTACAGAATTGTTGCATGACAGGATTGCACAGATAAATGCAATCATCCGATGAAAGGCAAACTAAGCCAGCGGACACATGGAAACCGTATATGGGAAATGGGAAACGAGGTAAAGTGACAGCGTATAACTCATCACTTTCTCCCTTTCCCTCCATTTCTACGGAAACAAATTGTAGTCTGCACCTATTTAACTGTGCCACTCTTGCTTGAGTCATAGGTAACACTTTTAACGTTGACCTTAAAAACTCATATGGCAAGTGAAGCGAGAGGTATAAGTTAAACAACCCAAAAAAGTATCATATTTCTACAAAATTTTGGAAAAATAGAAGCACTTAAAATGGGAGCTTTAACTTGGTTTAAATAACCGTGGCACTCCTAGCCCTAAACCGGAGCTCATGGTCCATTTAACCCCAAGCTTGAGTTCATCAATTTCTTCAGCAACAATGAAGCCCGTCAGGTCCATTTCAAAACTTCAATGTTTTGTCTCAATTAATATTCTTTTACGTAAGCATAGTTATGGATTTAACTTAACTGTTTGTTCAGATTTTTCATAAGGTGGAATGAGTGTATCTATTGAGCTCAAAAACGGGCAACCTGTGATGAAGTAGAATGGACATATTTGAAGGGAAGATATACGCACACAAACACAACTATGACAAGTAGACCAAGTAATTTGTAGCAATTTTTTGCCTAAACAAAGAACCACCATAATTAAGGATAAATGACAGATTAACTACTCTCATCTTGGCTACAAAAAGTACAAAGAGTTATCCATATGAAATCACCAGTGATTATAGCTGTCTTTGCTAAGTACAGGAAAGGCAGTCAAGTGATTAAAAAAATTCCAACTCCAGAAGAGGAGAGCCAAGTAAAATATTAGTACGTCGTAGCAGCGGCATACACTTCGGAAGGCAAACGAATGAAACTAGTCTTTATCAAACTGCTAGATTAAAAGCAAGACGGCATTGCTTAGTACAATGACAAAAGTAAGAGCTCCAAAACCTAAAACATGATATAACTAGATTACTTCATAGTACCAGTTTTGTCAAAAGAAAGCTACTATAGACTGAAGTGTGCCATAAAAAAACTGAAACGAAACATAACCAGCAATGCTACCACCGAGAAAGCATGGAGGAGATCATCTTCAACAATGATAAGGAGCCTCTTCAACTATCTTCTTCCAACAGCTCAAACAAAAAAGCACTATACACAAAAAGATGTAAACAAATATAAGCAAAAGTTATAGCAAATGATAGCTAAACACAAAGTAGACATCACCAAAACAAAGAAAACTTAGGATGGCTTACCTTATGAATAGCTAGGTGATCAACAATCTCCAGAGCAAATGGAATTTAGCTGAGAGAAGGTGGGATAAACCACTTAACATGCATAATTGGACTCACAAGAGGAAAGCTAAAAGAGAAGATACCAAAGACCAGGAGGTGAAAGGATAGAACTAACTATTAATTCCCCTTACCAATTTTCATTCCAAAAAACAGAAAAATGGTCAAGGGGAAGAAGTAGGAATTAGATCCTATTCAAAGTAAAGAAGTAAAAATGACAAGAATACAGGTAACGGGGTGATGACCAGCCAATTTAGGCAGACACTGATATACTACAAGGAGATGGAGATGGTTAGGATGCAAGATTGAATGGAAGGGCTAAGAGTTTGGTAACAGAATAAAACAGAAATCCAAGTTGCAGCTATCTAATCTGGTAGGGTCTAAGATATATACAATATCTCTGATAAACAGAAGATCTAAAGTAACATGAAGAAGCAAAGAATGAACAATCCTATGAGAACTAGTATCAAGAATGAAAATTGATGGTTAGATGTTATCTCTATAGCATCAACGAGTTGACCAACAGTTCTGCAACCCCACAAAGGACTGCAAAGCTATCTATCAATTACTGCAACAGGAGATTCCCACTCAACACCCAGCTTCTTCATCCACTGATGTATGCACAAGCATGCATACTTCCAAGATCTTGAACCCCATAGAATTTAACCACGTCGACACATAAATGCATGAACTTTGAAGCAACCTGGAGAGAGTTGACCAACCTGCCAATGCTCATATTGCACTTCCCTTAAACCAACCACAATTAACAGCTGTTGAAGCTTCACCACTGAGCTTAAGCTGCTCTCCACAACGACAAATGCTAAGCAACTAACACAAAGTCAATCTAAAGACTTCTTTATTCACGATTTACACAAATCTACTAGTACTACCAAATTCAAACTACACTATCCCCTACTTAGCTGCTATTCAACACTCCCACCACACATTCATCAATCTGTAATTTTGAGATTGAGGATACGACGAAGAGTCTGCGTGGCAGAGTCAGTACTGACAAATACGATTCCTGGAGAAGGGCTGTGCTCCCTGGTTGGGGATGCAGGAGCGGACTTGGCCATGGGACGCAAATTAATATCAGATGCTGAAGCAGGCAATTCAAGAGAGACAGTCCTTTTAGGCCTGAGAGAAAACTTGGGCATGGGCAAAGAACTAGGGGGAGGAGAATTTGAATAAGCTGGCCCCGCCCACAGTTCAGTAAATTCATCATTCAAAGAATCCTCATTGCTAGAACCAATATCCACTTTGAGATTAATTGGTATCGGAATCATGCTACTTCTGGCTGGTTTTCTCGATTTCGTTTGACCTTCAGAGTGAGACTTCACAGTATTAACAGGCACAGATGTTAAAGGTGATCGTGTCTTGGGAGACAAGGAACCCGAAGCAGCCTGTTTAATGACATGTTTAGACTCGAAAGCCCGGTAATTTTCCTCCCTGCACCTACCAGAAGGAGGTGAACCAAATGACCCAAATCGAGCAGGGCCATGTTGTACCCTGCTTCTCCCATAGAACTGATTCCTATGCTGAGCAACAACAATCATCTTCCAACCGACTCAAATAACCAATTCAATCAAAATCCACTGTAACTAACTATCTTATCAACAAACCTAAAGATCTAACAAGAAACAACAGAGGTCAAAGATTCATACTGGAGTTCTGAAATGCTGTAAAATGACTACAGATCTTAGATCCTCTTTTCAACCATCAGATCTGAGCAGAACAAAATCGCTACCAGATTTATCTACTATCACCACGCTAACCTTCAGTTTCTTCAGATCTATAAGCCAGTAACAAAAAGGGAAAAGGAAAAAAAATCAGCCAAATTACATGATATCAAAACCAATCAGTATTAATGAAACACACAAATCAAAAAATACGAACTTCTAGCATCACACAACATAACCATTATATCTCAATTTCATAAGGTTTATTCTAATACAAAAATCTCAGAATTATAACTTCATATAAATCTAAGTTCTCAATTTTCATTTTCGAGAGAAGTTTCGAAAATTTACCTGATGTCAGAAAGCATGTAGTGACGTTAGAGTGTCTTGAAAGTGTGGTTTTGGGTGAGATTTTTTCTACCTAAACCTAACAAAATTAGGTGCACGTATGTATATATATCTGAATTTGAACAGTAAATACTATTTGTATGGTTGTCTGTGCATTTGTATTATTACGGAGACACCATTGGATTTGCCGACTAAAGCTTTTTTGAGCCCTGAATCCCCGGATCTGAAAATGAAACCAAAAGTCGTATTTAAATTTCATCATAGGTCCAGCGTGCAATTGTACGATTAGCCCTCTGTATGACGTATAACTACGAAAACACCATTAACTTATATGATACTCCCTCAATCCACTTCTACTCGATATTTGACATGTATGCTAAAAATAGATTTTTATTTTTACTTGTCAAGAGAAGATAAATTTTTTTTTTCTGTTATACTCACAGTATTTATTACTCATTTCAAATCATTTTCTCAAATCCACTAAAATATGCATCAATTAATATGGTAAATTATGCACTTCATTTATTATTTCTTAAGGGGCGTGAAAAGTCAAAATTATTGGCAATTGCTACTGGCATTGTTGTTCCCTGATTATTAAAGTTGTTGTTGTTGTTGGATATGAAAAATCAAAACGTGTCAAGTAAAAGTGAACGGATAATATATAAAGTATTGAAAGTCTAATACTCATACATAAATTTATCAGATCATTTGCTCCAAGTATTTTGAACTCCAATAGGAAATGCTTATTTTAATGGGTGTTGTGTTTAAGCTAGTTAGAAATGCATTAAATAATTTGCTTAATTAATCAAGAAGAAAAACACGTTAGAGATGTCCGATCATTGAGAAATCAGATCATTGCTCGTCCATATATAGTCCAGTTGCTAATCAAAGATGAAACGTGTGATTTCCGTTGTGGTCCTTTCGAATAATCAGAATATTGAAGAAGTGAAGCTAACATTTGGCAAGTGAACAAAAGAGCCCGTTTGGACATAAGAACTTTTTTATGAAAATTTTTTATTTTTTTCCGAAATCAGTGTTTGGTCATAAAATTTCTAATTTTCACTTGAAAATAAATTTTGAAATTTTAAAAAATTCCAAAAAATTATTTTTCAAAATTTTCACTTAGATCACTCACAAAATTTTAAAAATAACCCAAAATTATATTCATTTTCAAACACAACTCTAATTTAAAAATACCATTTTCACTTGAAAAAAAAATTCACTTTTTTTTTTTGAAATTCTACAATTCTTATGTCCAAATGCCCACTTAAACAATTCAAAATTTGCCTATCTAGTAAGACTTGTGAATAATTTAAAAAGACAAATAAATATTTTACCAAAGTTATACCTCCTCTTCGATATAACTTATAAACAAGATAAGAGTTGTTAATCTAATAAAACTTATAAACAAACTAACAAGATAGGTGGTATGAATGTTTTACAAAAGTTATACCACTCCGCAAAACTTATAAAAGCGTGATTTTATAATTTTCAAGTATGTAGCTAGCGTCGAGACTATTTTTTAAAAAATTTCATTCGTCTTCTATATTAATAATATTGTATACGGGTAAAATCGAGCTCATAGTACATCTCGGTATCCGATAAAATAACGAAGCAAGAAACATAAAGGACTCGTGGAGCATTACCAGAAGATCAAGCACGACCAACAGAAGGCCATAATATTCACAACCGGTCGGACATCACGGCGTGAATTTCGGCGCGTATCGATAGAGAACGCGTGATTAATTAAACAGAAAATTTTTTACCTTGTATGAAATTGTACCTAGAGTAGAATTCCCCTACTTTATAAAGGGGAGTCTGATTATTCATTGACCACATTACAACGCATGCATACCAAGGCAATATACTCTTATTTTCTTTGTTACTCAAAGTTCTTATTCTTGTTCATCAGTATTTAGTTACTGTGAGCCCAGATCGAGAGCGGATATTTCATCAATGCTGGAATCATCCCCCTCAAGTGGTTTGATAATCTACTATATCTTTATCTGTTTAATATAACGCAATTTACTGTTTCTATTGAGTTAATCCAGCCTGTTTTTTAGGGTAAACAGTTTGGCGTCCACCGTGGAGCTAAATATAATAGTGGTAATTTGATACAAATTTCTATAACACACCCTATTTTACACTTGTGCTTTGAAGTGTCTTTAATTTCATGTCAAAGTTTAAATGTCGAACCTCCAATCTGCTCCTCTAAACGTGGATGCTGAGTCCGGTCACTATTGCGAGAACAACAATGTGGTACCCAGTAACGAAGTGTCCCCTGTCGATCTCAACAGAGTTCCGGTCGCGGGCCCGATCGGCGCCAACTCACATGTGACCATCAATGCGAATTTTCCTACCGATCCCGAGAGCATTGTCCGTGGGGGAGTCCGATTAGTAGCCCAAAATGCACACAACGGGGAAGGAGATGGGATAAACTTAAGAGTGGTCTTCGAAATGCTACAGGCTCAATAGACAGCGATAGCGCAGCTGCAGAACTAAAGCCGCGCCCCAGCAGAGTTGAGCCTAAGCCATCCCGGGAAATCACTCGTAGAAGCGATCCAGTCACGGAGAGGCCGAGTGAAGCAGAACTAGAGACTAACCCTGAGATCATAAAAATGCCCGAGTAACTGACAAAATAGGTAGAATCGGGAGAGAAAAAAAATTGAAGCCAATCACAAAAAGGGGGAAACCTACCATTCTAGGGTCGACCAAATCACAGGAGCACCACCGATATTGAAGGGCCTAGATTCCAAGAAATTTGTTCAAAAAATCTTTTCTTCCAGAGCAACTCCGAAGCCAATCCCAAAGAAGTTCTGCATGCCCGAGATTCCTAAGTACAACGGAACAACCGACCCAAATGAGCATGTGACCTCCTACACGTGCACCATCAAAGGGAACGACTTGGAGGATGATGAGATCGAGTCCGTCCTGCTGAAAAAGTTTGGGGAAACTTTGTGAAAGTGAGCTATGATATGGTATCACAACTTACCCCCTAATTCGATTGACTCGTTTGCTATGCTTACAAATTCCTTTGTGAAAGCACACGTCGGGGCCATCCAGGTCGAGACCAGAAAGTCAGAACTTTTCAAAGTAAAACAGAGAGATAATGAGACGCTCAGGGAATTTGTGTCCCCGTTTCAAATGGAACGAATGGACTTTCCTCCGGTCGAGGACGATTGGGCCGTTCAGGCCTTCACCCAATGACTCAATACTCGAAGCTCATTAGCTTCACAACAATTGAAGCAAAATATGATAGAATATCCAGCTATAACTTGGGTCGATGTACATAACCGATATCAATCAAAAATTAGGGTCAAAGATGATCAGCTTGGGGCCGTTTCTAGGGTTTAGCTCGTCAGAGCTAGTGACAGATCCAAAAGGGACATTGATCGTGAACCAAGATCGAATAGAGATCAGTATCAACCATACAACGATGATCGAAGGGGTAAAGGGTATGAATGAAGCCCTATGAGAAGTTAAAGGAGAAGCGATTGAGGTCAAAATAACTAGGGACTCATGAGCAAAAACGATTTCAACAGGCCCATCGGGCCTAAGGAAGCACCAAAGTTATCGGAGTACAACTTCAACATCGATGCTGATATCATCGTATCTGCCATCGGACACCTCAAAGACACCAAGTGGCCTCAACCTTTATAGTCTGATCCGGTCCAAAGGGACCCCAACCTAATGTGTAAATATCATGGCACTCACAGCTTCAGAACAGAAGATTGCTGACAAGTGAGAGAGGAAGTAGCCCGATTATTCTATAACGGACATCTCCGTGAATTCCTGAGCGATCGAGCCAAAAACCATATCAAGAATAGGGACTCTAATAAGCAGATCGAGCAGGAGAAACCTCAGCACGTCATTAACATGATCATCGGTGGAGTCGACGTCCTCCAAGGGCCATGTTAAAGTGCACCAAAATATCCATCACAAGGGAAAAACGGACTCGAGATTACGTGCCGGAAGGAACCTTATCTTTCAACAATGAGGACGATGAAGGTATTGTACAGCCGCACAATGATGTACTGGTAATATCTGTACTCATAAATAAATCTCGAGTTAAGCGTGTGTTAATTGATCCAGGTAGCTCGGCTAATATCATCATGAGTCGTAGAGCAGTTGGGTCTAAACGGATCATCGTAGACCAAATTGTGCCTGCAGTCCGAGTTCTAAACGGATTCAGTATGGCATTTGAGACTACTAAATGGGAAACAACACTACTGGTAAATACCACCGGAACCATTCAGGAAATAAAGTTCTACATGATCAAGGAGATATGAGATACAATGCTCTATTCAGGAGGCCGTGGATTCATAATATGAGATTAGCGCCATCCATACTGCACCAGGTGTTGAAATTCCCAATGCAGGATGGATTAAAACAATTTACGGAGAGCAACGGGCCAGAAGGATATGTTTGCATCAATGAGTTGGTCCTTATATACGCACTTTCAATACCAAAGGATCCGAGTTTGGTTGCCAAGGGAGAAACCGAATAGCAATCACTAACATTGGCCTCGATCGAACCGGAGAAGCGGGGGACTGGTGAGGACGACGACTACGGAGTTTCCAGGTCTTTCATAATCCCTGGAGATTCCAATGCCACCAAATCAATGGTCGAAGAACTGGAGCAAGTCATATTGATCGAGCACCTGCCCGATCATAAGGTATACCAGGGCACAGGGATAAATTCCGAGATCAGGAAAAAATCATTAAATTCCTTATGGATAACATATATAGATTATTTCGCTTGGTCTCACCTCGACATAGAAGGAATCCCACCGGAAATAACTACTCACAAGCTGAGCTTGGATCCAAAATTCCACCTAGTCAAATAGAAAAGGAGGCCTCAGTCCAAAGTCAAGCATGCATTCATCAAAGACGAGATTTCTAAACTCCTTAAAATAAGATCCATTCGGAAAGTTAAATAACAGATTGGTTAGCAAATGTAGTAGTAGTCCTTAAAAAGAGGAATAAATTAAGAATGTATGTAAACTACAAAGACTTGAACAAGGCATGTCCAAGGACTCTTTTCCTTTGCCCAACATCGATCTATAATCGATGCGACGGCCTGCCACAAGATCCTTAGCTTTCTCGATGCCTATTTGGAGTACAACCAAATTCGAATGGACCCGAGCGACCAAGAAAAAACATCCTTCATCACTAAATACGACACCTACTGTTATAACGTAATGTCGTTCGGACTAAAAAAT